AATCAAAGCTTCAGATGTACAGTGACAGACAGAATAAATAGTCAAAACGTTATTTGGATGAGCTACCTCTTCTATCACGTCGCTTTACTTCCCAAAATTACCATAGTATAAAAGCTGAAGATAAGGATAGGGCTCTAAATATCATTCAAAATAAGTAGTCTCTAAGAAAGGTTTGTGGTCGAAAATTTTCCTTTCACTTATTATATGCAAATTACACGTTTTAAAAAATCAACAGATGGAGTTGCACAAATCCAGAACAAAGTGCCTAAGTTTGAAGATAAGAGAGCATTTGATTTGAATCCAGAACGGTTAGACGTTGAGCAAGAGGTTGAATGTCGGAAAATTATAGGCAACAGCGGCGTTTGAGGGTCGAAGTTCGAGAGTATTACGATGTGTGACATCAGTCAGTCACATTGGGGCTTGGGCGGATATGCAAATGTGTTGGATTGTAGAGCGAGTAGGGGCACAGCGGTGTTACTGCGCGGCGGCCATCTTCCGCCGTAGCCACCGCCGCCATCCGCGCGCCGTTCGCAACACAACAACAACAGTTAATGCAAACGGCGCGCAAGGGGTCGTAACTGGTTACGCGGAAATAGTCTGGTAATTGGGAATGGGGCTGTGAACGAGTTGTTCCTCTGGTCACGGCTGGATCACAAATCCTATCGACTTTGGTAGGAAACAATACAAACATTGATCACTTTCGATACATCTTACGCCCTTATCGATAGTGTCAATAGCTTTGTGACAGTTGTCCGGAGTGGTCAAAAGTTCGCGTGCTAAAATTCAATAGCGAAAAGAACAAGTTAGGGAATCTGTGACAGTTAATCCGGAAGATTCACAACGTTCCATGACATTTGCCTGGAGGCGTCAGTGAGCTAATAATTGGCCTCTATTGTCCGGCGTGACTAAAATGTAACAGTTGTCCGGAGTTAGAAGATTTGTGACCGTTGAAGAAGCGAGAGATTTTGTGTGAGTTATCTTAAAGTCCAGAAGTTATATAGTTGCCAAATGGTACTATGTTACAGTTGCGCAACTGGAACAAATGTGTGATACTTGTTACTAGCAGTAGAAAAATGTGACAATTGTCAGGAGAAGTCTAAAAATTGTGACAGGTGGCCAAGTGGAGAGAACTTCTGTGTTAGTTGTTCAAAGTTAAGAGACTCTGTGATAGGAACCAGGGAACAGGGTTTGAAATAACTTGACCAGTATCCGCAAGGACAGACAACGTTTGGACACTTGTCCAGAGGGGTTAAAAAATTTCGAAACTTGTTCGGAGAAGCCAAAATCTTGTATTGTCATGGTACTTGTCCTCATGTGTAGCAATTTAGCACAATTTTTTCGGAGAGCATAAAAATAGCCAAAGTGGTCAAGACTTCGGTAACAGTTGTCCGGAAGAAGATGATTTGTGACTGTGGTCCGAAGGAGTCAAAAAGTTGGGGCAATTGTCCACACTGGTCATAAGAGTGACGCTTGTCCTTATGTATCGCGATTCGCATAATTTTTTAAAGGGGAAAAATAGCCAAAGTGGTTAAAACTTTGTAACAGTTGTCCGAAAGAGGGACAATTTGTAACGTCTGAAAGCGTCGAAATGTCAATGATAATTTCGGAAGAGGCTGAAATATCATGTAAAAGCCCGAATTTTTAAGAATTGATATACTTGTTCAAGAACTCGGAAAGTGACAGATGTCCGGATGGGTCAAAGATTTTCATTGTTGTCCGAAAAGGACAAAAGATTCTGTGAAAGTTCAGATATGGAAAAAGAGATTGTGACGGTTATGCGATGAAACTTATAAAGTTACGAAATTACTGAGGGGAATACAAAATCGTGGTAATTGTACGTCGGAATAAAAAGGGTTAAGTAGCAGTTGTCCAGAGGGTCTGATGCTCATGTTAGTTGTCCGGAAAAGCCAAAATATTTTCTTTCTAGGGGATCAAAACTTGCGAAATTTGCCTAGAGTGCCAAATGATCGTCAAAGTTGCCCTAAAAAGGCAAATATTTTGTGACAGTTATCCCTTAGCGATTGCAATTTTGTGATAGATGTCCAGAAGGGTCGAAAAACCACAAGAGTGGGTAACTTACCATACAAACATTATGAACAACGTCTTCCAAAGGTAAGTCACCTCTTTCGGGAGCGACGGTACGGCACAATTGGCGGCGCCAAAAGTGTTTGTGCGTTTGTTTGAGCAGCCGGCCTATCTCAGGTCACTTGTTACCTGGGACGTTGGGTAGCCGTAAAGAGTAGAGATGGAAAGGGCTGTGCGGCTTGCTGAGAGGGAAGAGGTAACCGTTTGGTACGAAGAACTGGTGGTAAAGATACCGGTTGTCTTTTTTTTTCGTTTACTACAGATGCAGCAAATACCATAGTTATGCTTGGAACGCACAATGTGTTTGACGAGTAGTCACGTTTATTAAATGTATCTAACAGTTATGCGCGATATTTTGCTAAAGAGCATCATAATTTTTGTAAAAATGGACTTTGATTTTTTTTGCTCGAGTTTTGTTCTGAATGGGACGAAAGTGTCAGTCTTCTCATACTTCCGATTACTCCCCTTCCTCCATGAATATTGTAACGGTTTTAGAAAAAATCGGCAAAAAGATGGAAGCGGTAAATAACAAAGAAGGTAGAGCAAAACCTAGGTTTTTTTTATTGAGTTTACAAGCTTTGAAAATTACAAATGGAAAAAATAACTTGAGAGCACTTTCCCGGCTCAGGCACGATAGCAGAATGTGCGGTGAGAACAAAGAAATTTTTTTAGAAGAAAGGAAGTGTGAAAAAAAACCTTTATTCTTGCAATTCCGAGCGAAATTTTGTAAAAGAATACTGTTTTTATTCGAGATTTACTTTTTGATTTTGAAATTCTACGAGTTTTAAATTTAGAAAATTCCTGTTTCATCTTAACATTATCATCAGGTTCACTTCTCACTTGCAGTATTACGTCGCATTGGTCAAAAGCCGGTAAAGTATGCTCAGAAGAAGTCAGGGGGGGCGGGGGGACGTGGTTTGTACCACCATTTAGGAACAGTGGGCGTGGTTGGTACCACAGTTCTTAAAAAATGGGCGTGGCTAGATGTGTCTATGAGCAAGCTATGGAGTGAAAAAGACCTCAACCTCAATGCCGGATAAGTTTGATCGCTTTTTTTTCTCTAAAAAATATTAAGGCAAACCATTGGCTAGTCAAAGATGGAGAGGGGTCTAAAAAAGTAGAGACGAGTTGTTTTTACGTGTCAACAACCGAACAATCTCAAAATTCTCTAAAACTAGAGCCATGTAGTCGAAAGTTTTTTTTGGAGGGGGGGGGAACTTTGCCCCCGATTAACATCCTCTTACCGCCATTGTCAAGACTTATGAAAACACGTAGAAAATGGCTTAGGGAGATTCTAGAATAAAAATAGCAAAGCTATAAAATCCTAAGTTGACTAATATGGAATGGCAAGAGCGCACGATGTGCAGAAACTACGGAACTATAGAACAATACGAATCGTCCACAACCACAAGCCATTAAACGACATTTGACGACATCGGTGGCGTTTCATGAGTATCTAGAGACATAAACACCGTTATGGGAACGCGCCGCGCTATGCAAAAGAGCCGGTATCAAAGACGTTTATCTGGTATAAAAATGGCGCGCGATTTCGCTGGGATGCGAGAGAGAAAGGGGGGGGGGGGGTGGAAGAACACAACAATTAGCGCTGTTTGGAAGACTAAAGCGCGAACGTTATTCTCACATGTGGTAGTGGTCAACAGGAGGGGAGAAGGAGGATGGAGGGGGGGGGGGAAGGGGAGGGGGGGGGGGGAGGGGGAGGGAGGGAGGCTTTGTTAGTTTACGGATGGCGCGAGAGTGCTGCGATGACCACTGTCGTCTAATCGAGTAGGATCCATTAGTATAGTGGTGGTGTGAGGACAGCGAGGTGGCGGAATTTTTTTGATAGCGGGGGAGGGTGGAACATTTTGGTTAAGTGGGCGTGGCGTGAGAATTATTAATTTTTCAAACAATTTGGTGCCAAGATTTGATGCAGGTAGTAGTGGAATCTAATTACAAACGATTTATGACAGTCATGGAAGAATGGTTCGCGCAAAATCTATAGGGGTGGATCTTAAGTCAAGGGGCGTGGCAGTTTATACAAGGGGATTTATTCTAGAGATTGGTGCTAGTAATCTGCAAGCAAGGGTTAGGATAATTTTAGTACGGGTAATCAGTACAATTAGACGTGAGACAGTGCCCTTTTTAGATTTTTCCAGGGAGCGGATCTTCAGATAGGGGCGTGGCCCTTTGTACGAGGAAAATTTGGTGCACAAGTTAACAACGCCGAAAAATTCGAAAATTATCGAAGAAAATCTAGCTACAAAGCCTGCTTATGAATCTAGAGAAATGATCTGAATTTTTGCAAATTTGGCAAAACGAGTTTTTACCGGGGGGGGGGAGCTTTTTTGTTCTAGGAGGCGAGGCATTTCATGCAAGAAAAGTCTACAAGCAATCCTGCCACCGCGACCGGATATTTTAACACAAGTAAAACTAATGTAGAAGGGAAATGAGTTGACTCTTAGAGGTCTACAGAAGTTTTTTAGAGTGGGGATTTTTGGTTGAAGGGGCGGGGCATTTTGTACAAACGAAATAAATTTTTGAAAACTTTAGATATCAACAATTTGCTACCAAAAATTCAACAGTAGTCTCAAACTAGATAAGTGGCGCTGATCACAACAATAGTTTTTTCTTACAAAAATGATCAATTTTACAAGTCGAAAATAACTGAAGATGTCATGATTGCACGATGGATGTAGAAAATTCTTGAAAAACTTGCTTTTCCTTTCCACAAATACTAGCTGAACAACTTTAGCAAACATTGCGCAATAAAATCGGCCTATGCTAGCGGAGGAGAAAACGAGGAGGATTTATGTGTGTGTGCATGTGTGCGATCACACACAATACGCAACATCGCGATGAGTGACGAATCGAGGAAGAAACGAGCATAAATAACGAGTGATTACACGGCCGCGTACCTGCACGAGGATTACGTACGATAGCGAGGATGTCGGGTGGGGAGAGTACGATCAACTGGCGGAGACGACGCTGAAAATAGAAAAAAAATCATAATTAGGATAATAATAAAAAGTCCAAAAATTCATCAAATATTTCGGTGTGCAAAACTGAAGAGGAGAGAAATAGAGATTGAATTCAAAATAAAAGTTGAAAACAATCAATTTCTCTTGCTTTCGACGAAAATGGTTTAGGCGGGGAAATGCGGAAGGGACAGCGAAATTAGCGGCATTTATCATGGAAATTTCTACAATAAAAATACCCTCGAAATATATCTTGAAAAAAAGGTGACTAACGATATTTTGTCCATCGATTATCTGGAAAATGTTTGTAAAACTTCAATAATTGTTCGAAGTGTCAATATAGTAATAGCTTTTCGTTACAACTAGTAGTAAATAATAGGTTAATACAGTCCAATTTTTCTATTTATTCAAGCAGCTGGACCCTGAAGTATGCCAAAAAGATTTGAATATTCGCACAGTGAAATAGGTAAAGGAGTGGGAAGGGAGCGGAGAGGGATGTTTGCAAGAAATATTTCAAAGACTGTCTGAATGGACTGGTTCAGTAAAAGTGTCAGAAAAAAATCCCATAGAATATGGGGTGCACATTGTTTCCATGGGTTAATCTCCCCATGTTCGATCCCAAATCCAGTTAAGAAGAACTGGGGCACTTGGCTTGCGGCCAAGTTTAGAAAGTTTTTGGAGATGCGCTTTAGATTTGAAAATCTTGAAAATATATAGCATAATCTTGTATGCTTGAGTTTGATTGTTTAACTATCTTCTTTAACTGTTTCTGGCTTTTTTAGCTATGGGTTAAGAAAATTGAGATGTTCCAAAGCATATTTTTTTCATCAAAATGTACTTTCCTTTGCTAGAAAGTTCGAAGCATTACGCAATTGAGTTTCGTTTCTTTTGAGCAGCTATAAAAGAAATGATCGCAGCTGGGAAATGCCGACGGTTGAAAAAGGATCCGAAAGGTTTTTTTTCTAGCCAATTCTGCAAGCCATGTCATGTCCTTTGCTGATTCTTGCCTTACTGAGACGAATTCTCAAAATATTAAGGGGCGCATTTTTTCTAAGGTTTTCGTGCAGGATCAACTATGACAAAATTTCTTAGCAGGAATTATTTTGCAGACTACGGTTCTGACAAAATTTCTCGAGAAAAAAATACAAGTGTGGTCCGTAAGTCGCACAATGATATGCAGAAAAAGCCTGAAATGCGAGGACAATCACAGAAAATTGTTTGTCAGCTCAAACCTCAACTCATTCCCAAGTAAAGGATCCGGGTACAGCGCAAAGGAACACAATTGCATGTAAAACGATCTTCTACCTCGTATACGCCGATTACGGGCTGAACAGCGTGTCCTTTGTTTACTTTGTTGTTTACTACAAGGAGTCGAACGGAATGGGTCATTGTGGAGTCTGATTTCGAATATTGGCGGGCCCTTTTGTTTATTCTTGTTCAGAAGTTCTTCAATAGAAAACACCAATCTTTAGAAGATGCAAATTTTCTGGTGAGGTGGGGTGAGGGCGGGAAACGTGAGGATCCTTGAACTTGCCACAAACATATTCCCAGCGAAAGCGCCATCCTTTGAAGTGATAATGGGAAGCAGCGAAAGGAGGAAAAACTTGTTCCTGTGGGAATCGTATGGAGCGGGCTAGCATACATAAAATAGGATTGAGATTTTGCTAGTGTGAAAATTTGATGTAAAATTCAAAAATGCGCCGGATATACAACACGTACCTCACTCAGAATAGTTCACAGTTCAGATCTCAAAACAAACATGACCTTCTGGAAAAAAAGAAAGGAGCGAAATGTGAAAAAAACAATTTTTTTTCGCTTGCAGATGGTTACCTAGAATGATGTTTTAGAATTCCAACTCAAAAAGGAAAAAAACCATTTTTGGCTGTAAGCAGTGCTTATTCCTTTTCTTATTGATTTACTTGATTGATTGAGAAAAATCCGTACAAGGAAAATACTAGTTTCATGTGAAAATGGAGGGAGTCATTTTTTCCGAAGTCGTACCACAGGCGCTCTTTCTGGTCCGCTCCCGCTCCGCCCATCCAGTACCAAAATGGAAGGAGCAATGATTACCTATTAACCGTAAGAAATCAATCTATAACCTAGCAGATTGTTCCTCAAGAACCTTTAAGTAAATTGCGACACGATTTTTCCCAAATCTGGATTACTCGATACAATGGATCCCCCTTTTTTGTTTCACTCGTAACGGGCGTTTTCGCGACCCCTATTATGTGCCCCCCCCCGTGTTGCGTGCTTGAATTAGCATCTGAATGTATCAAATCGTCTGCTGCTACTCAAAGAACTGGTTTCTTTGCTTCCTCATGTTTTTTTCCTAGCCACCATGAACAAGCGTATCGTAATCACTACCCAATTTAATTTCCCTTGATGGACAGGAAATAATGGGGAACGAGAAACTACTGAGGGTTAGAATGGGCCTCTAGACAGGTACAATTAAAAGGTAAAACCTTACCTTGTAAAGTTTGCGTATGGCCTCAATCAAAGCAACAAAAAGTCTTTGCTTTGCGACTTGATCGTGATGGTCGAGGCGTACTTCCCGAGGAGAGACGACGTCTACGGAAGAAGGGTCTCTGAAAAGGGGAAAATAAAAGTTCGAAAAATGAAAAACACTGAAAATCGACTGAATAGATGCTATTGAGTACATATGTAAGTATAGAAATACGCTGTTTATATCCCAATAACTGCAGTATTTTGTCAAAGAATACGGTACTTCCGGAGCACCATGAATGAGTGGCAGGGCTTTTTTGCGCCAAAAGAGAACTCGTCCATTTTTGAGAATCGACTATTGTATGAGATGGGCATGCTGTACTTGCCTTCAAGTTACGTGTCATAAAATTTGAAAAATGTCAAGCGCTTGAAGAAAATTCTATAGTCATGAATTTCCACGAATTTCCTATTCATATGCGCTGCTTGAATAGCAAGCGTATTCTACGTTCCCTTACGACTACAAGGGTATTGCTTGCAAAGCTTCACTAATAATTGAAACTGAAAATATAATCCTAATTGTTCAAAAATTATTTATTGGCAAAAAAGTGCTGAAAGTCTAGTAACTTAAAGGCAATCTCTTTTTTTTTTTGAAATTGCAAAGCGAATAGAAATATGAGAAGAGAAGCGCAAAACGTTTTGAAAGGCTTATGTCAAAGGCTCAGGAAAGGAAATGCAAACAAATGAAAAGCAGGTTGATTTTTCCACCAAAATCGGATTTCGTAGAGAATGACATAAATGACAGCAGAAAATTACGTTTTTTTTTTTGAAGGTATGTAAAAAATTTTCTTTTGTCCAATATCTGATGGAAAGAGAGAGGGGAATAGAAAATGGTTTGAAGGAGGGGGGGGGGGCTTGGTTTGGTACTTACCGGAAATGTCAAATGCAAGAATGCGTATCGGGTGTTCTGTAGACAGTTTTTCAGAAGATCTTAATTGATCCACATAAATTGCAAAAAATCAAAAATTATACGTATTTTCCAGCGGAAATAAAAAAACATGAGATTGTGAAGGAGCTGTGGCTGTGTCGCTCGCCTTCACGTCCAAAAATTTTATCAACTCATACCCCCCCCCCCCATCCTCCCCCGCTTGAACTCTGCTATTACTGCTGAATATGTGCAAATGCAGTGCCTTCCCTCGTTCTCGTACTTACTTCCCTCCCCTTACTTGCCCCGCCCCCCGCTTCAGTTTTTTCCCCTTTTCTTAACTTGTAATATGACATCTAACCTTTAATAACCTCCGATTATGTTAAACTACTAGTAAATCCTGTTTACACTTCCTACTCCCTCAAGGCTAAATTCTTTAGTGAACTGTTATTACTGCTATTCAGTTTTTTCCCGCCAAGAGAACGCGACAATCAAAAGCGGCTTTGTTGAAAGAAAGAACGTTTAATTTGAACTCATAATGGCCTACAATATAGATATCCTGAACGATTGGGGAAGAAATTGATGAGAGTTGAAATAGTGGCGGTGTGGCTGTGTGTGCGTACGGCACAAATTTGTTTAACCTTGAGTTTGGGTGGATAATGGGCAATTAGTTTAGGTTGACTGTGTAGGAAAGGTATTTTGAGAGAGAGAGGGTAAAGGGAAGAGAAGGATTTCTAGGGAGGGGGGGTGTGAAATTCATTTAGGAAGCCCAGATAGAAACAAGAATCGTTCTGATCAGGAACAACGAAAAATTCGTTCCCTATCCTTTACATTTTGCCCAGGGTGGCGCAAAAATGCGACCCATGACCTCGTCAAGAAGAATAATGGCCCAATTTGCATAACGGGCGCAAAAGGGACCACTGTAATCAAGTCGCGCATGCTTTGACAGCCGGAACATTCCCGAACGTCATGTTTTCTAGATAAATAGCTGCAGTGGAGCGGTGCGACCACGAATTTGAGAGCGGGAGAGATGAGGGAGAGGGGGGGGGAGGGCGAGAAGAAAAAAATGGTTCAGTGATATTTTTAAGCTATCTTTAAGAGTTCGCCATAGCAAGTGCACAGTGCTTGCCGGGGTAATCAAAATCATCAATAAAAATTTTATTCGAATTTTACCAAATATAATAGTTCGAATAGTCATTTCTGGACACGGCAGTGGTTGCCAAGAATGAACAAGTCAGTTCTGCCCCTCCACCTCCCCCCCCCCCCAAAAAAAAACGTTTTTCTTGGATATTTTGCAATTTAGATAACTAGCATTGAATGTTGGCAAATGCAGAAAGTTTGCTAAGCTCTGTATTACGTGAAAGTGGGCGTGGCAGAGGGCGGAGCTAATTCTTCATGGTCATCTATAAGAGCGGATATGTGAGAAGGCATCAATGATTTATAAAGAATTAATTCGTGAATAAGCTGCAAATATTATTTGGGACGATTTCTCCGTACTCTGGCAGTATTTAATTCTGATTAAAAATTGTAGTCTGTGTTTTAAAATAAGTCTCTCCTCTCCTCCCCCTCCCCTCGAATGGGTCGCAAAATACTCAAAAATGAATTGAAAATTGTGCAGATGACATGTTTTTACTTGTAAATAACAAATGATTTCTCACGTTCTACATAAATGAAAGGCTTGCGAAGAAAACTTCTAGGTTGTAGTGAAATCCGTTAATTTTATGTCGGAAAAAATTTCTGGATCTCCGTTAGCGATGACAACAACATGAAAAGAGAAAAATGTAGCACTTATGTCCCAAAACCTTATTAGCCAATAGTGGGCGTGGTAAGGGGAGGGGCTAGTCTGTTATGACTAATCACTTTAACCAGACTCGATTGCAGTCGTAAATTACAGTCGTGTTATTTTCCTTTTTTACATACTTTTCATGAGTTCTCCAAGAAAGTTGTAGAAATAGGTAACCTAGGGTTAATTGCAGCAAATACTATAGAAAAAGAAAATTTCCTGCAAAGAAACCGGATTGGTTTCCATATTTGTTGAGTAACATAAATTATCCCCACTATCGAGAACTGGTCCCTCATTTTGTAGCAAACGCGCGTTTTTAGCCCATACATGCACTTTCGCTCTTAATTTGCAAGCCATCACCAGCAGATTTCGCTGTTTTTAGCTTCATGCGCCTAGTGCTAATGGCTTATTTATCATAAATCGCAGATTTTTGCTTGCATATATGCACTATACTACGGTAACAAGACACAGGAACCAAGTGTTTTATTGGTGCAGATTTATTATGTCTAGTAGAAACCGGAATTACAACATTTTCCTCACAAAATCAAATAATATATAACCTATGATTCAACTGGCTTGGCGGCTGAAAGGCGAGACTTTGGGACTCAGTTAAGGCCGCTTGCGCCCGCGACGCAGTCTGCGTCTCTCCCGCGCGCGTGCTCTCTGGTTACTATCTAGCCTTAATTAGGTCACGAACCCCCGCCTTCCAGCCGGAGCCAGTTGAATCCAGCCAGTTGAAAGGGTAAAATGTGTACTGAAAAATAAAGAAAGCTGTCACAGAACAAGAAAGAGGGTAGCGATTGCTTAAGCACTTGGCGGAGTCCAAAAAAACCGCTGCAAAAATCAAATTTCCAAAAATTCCTTCGAATGATCTGTGGTTTGGTATCGAAATATAGCGCAAAATGTGATCGGCTAGTATTTCAGCCACAAAAATAGATTTGTTTTAGGCATTTCAAGGTTTTCTGCGCAAAATAAACCAAATGCTTTCACCTTTGTCCCTCTTACACTCAGATAAATCTCAAGTGGAAAAGTAAGAGGAAGTAAATAGGAAATACTCATAAAGTTCATTGTTAAGAGTGTGTGTAGCGGTACTCAATCTTAAGTGGTACAAACAATGAAAAAAATGGGGTGAATGAGGAAGGCGAAGATGAAAAAGATGAGGAAAGAAAATCAGGAAAATGGTTGCCGTGAAACATCTGCTAACTAAATTTAAGCAGTATATTACTTTAGGGAAAAAACTATGAAAAATGGAAAATAAAAATGAAACATGGACACGTCAAAGAAAGAATAGGAGGGGGAGAAATAGGATGAGGAGGAGAAACCGAGGGAAATTTCGAAATTCTGTTGGATATTGAATAGCAAAAATTTGCGCTAAAATTTTATCCCATCCCCTCTCCAATTCTGCTCCTCCCCCCTCCCCCTTCTCTAAAGCTAAAAATTCTCCTAAACGCTATAGAAAAGAGAATTGTTTCATTAGAAGATAGAAAAGGAAAAGTGGGAGGGAGATGGAAAAGGTGGAAAATTGGAGTAAAGCCGAGGTAATCCAACATGGAAATACAATTGAAAGATTCAAAACTTTCCCGAATTTGGCGGCTCCCTCTCCACCCCGTCTCCCAAGCCAAAAATTTCCCCAAACCCGAAGCTAAATACACAGACGATGATTAACACCATATGCTTATCCTTGACGGAATTGCATGAGTGGTCAGGTTTATCAAAGAAAAATTTCCCGTTTCAGGTTCGGCCGCCATAGAATGCACCTGCTACATGCGCAATGCGCATGCAGATTTCACTAATTCGAATCTCTAATCCACAGCCCCCCTTCCCCCGTCCGCCCGCTTTTTCATTAGCATTAGCCCGCGAAGAGACAAAAGCGTATCGCCAGGGACTTCAAATGATCGGAAATGTTCAGACAGCGGCGAATTTCGGGGAGGGTGGAGGCTAAATGAAATTGTTGGTCGGCGGCGGTCCATTTGAAATATGCTAATTTTTGGGGCCATGTTACGCCGGGACAATTTTCACAGGGTGGGGGACCCAGAAAAAAAAAGGGGGGGGGGGTATAAGATTCAATGACTCATGACTTTGGGCCCGAAATGAGCTGTTCTGCCTGGAAAAACGCTGATAGCGACTTCACGCGCAAGCCTAAGCGTTCGGACAATAAAGATAAGACTAATAAAAACAAAACAAACATCACGGAAGTTTGGGAAAGTGGTATATGAATAAGACAAAAGAGATAAGGACTTACATTTGATGAAATAACACGCTCAGTAACACACCATCACATAGTTCTGCATATTCCATTGGAAGATCTGCGTTACACGGTAGTCGCCATTTCTTTTCTTCAACCACCGGTGAATTACCGAAGGCCACGTCACTGAAAAAAATTTTCGTTAGTCAAAGAGGACAGAAAACGAAAAAAGCCAAGCTGGCTAAATTTCGAAATCCAACCAGCTTAGAAGTAGTTTGGAATGAAAAAAATCATGGACTTGCGACTTCAAATGATCTTTTCTTAAGGTTTTAAGGTTTACGAGGTATTTTTTTATTCACTCACAAATGGCTTGACCGTTTCCTTTTCCGAGTCATAATGAAGAATAAAAAGCATGCAGAATCGCGGCTGCGCGGCGCTGATGCCTCTGAGTCGAGGCGCACAACCGAATACAGTTATCGATTTTTCTCATGGACATCGATTGCATTTGGCGCGCTTACCGTATTTCTTTAGTGCCATTTACCATGCGCACAATATCAAGCAACCAGCGGCACTGCGAGTACTATAAAATTTACAAGACCTGAAGTGCGAAATTGCTGTTGTGCAGCACCGATGCCTTTCGCGGCGCATAAAAGGAATGCAATTGATTATGTTCTCATAGGCGTTGTTGGACGACGTCGAATTTCACGGATTAATTCCAACTATCATGCAAAAATCCCATTATTATGAAAGATACGCACTCAATAATCTCGCGGCACCGATGCCTCTGAGTCACGACGCGTAGTATGATTTGCATTTATCGATTTTTCCAGAGGCTTCTATGAGCTCACACTACGGGCATGAGTGCTAGAATGTCATTTATTGTGCTTGTACCTATATAGATTTTCGAGATGGATGCACATTAGGAACGCAAGGAACACGATAGCAGTACTGGAAAAGGGGCGTGGCCTAGGGCGGAGTCAGCCGTTTTGGAGGCGTGATCTGGGCGGAGGCAGTCTTACTTCGATTTTTTATAGAACTTTGCCAGAGTCAATAGTAATTCGCATTTTTGAGATATTTTGTTTAAAACCTATACATTGCAAATTCTTCTACCCAGCTTGGTTTTTTGAACGTCTACCCGATCAGACTTCGGCAGATAGTTTGAAAAGATTCCCTAAAAGTCGTATGACGTGGTCAAATGACACCGAACGATTTCTATAGTCACAAAAATAATTAGTTATAATTTTGATTCCAAAAACTTACTTGAGCCAACTGCCGAGTGGATGTTCCCAGAATTGTCGTTCATTCATGTCTGCATAGTAGCGCACAGTGGCCTTCTGTAAGCAAGAGCATGTGAAAACGACGCAGAACAACAAAAACAACTGAGGCGCGGACAACCGACGAACAAAGACGATCTCGTATTTCCGTACGAGTTCATAGTAAATTGCACATGTGGCCGTGTCGAGGAAATGAAGGAGATGGGAAGGAACTCAAAATTTGTGAGAATGCTGAAAATTTCCATTTTGGGGCGCAAAATGAAATTCCGGAGACAGGCAAGCGTTTGAAGCAATGTGCTGATAATAACGTTCCTGTGCAAGAACCGGATGAGAGCGGATAAGTCCTAGAATATCCTTTTTATCCATCCACTCATAGCTAAGTGGGTGCCCTGTAAGGGGATTTTCCCTTTAAGAAGCAGCATCTGGCGCAGAAGGAAAAAACTTCCAATACAATGAAAGCTTTCAAAGCTTGCAGATGAAGACAACCTAACCTCACAGTTTTTGATGGTTAAGGTAATTAGAAATTCTCACAAATTTCTTAAATCTTTGTCTTTATTGTTTTTATTCTGCTTTACAATAACATACCCAGAGTATGCCAAAAACAAAAAATAAAATGAAAAACACTGAATGGACATGATACAGCCAGTCCTATCAAGGAAATAAATGTGAGATACATAATAGGAAGAAAATCGAAAAGAAAAAAACCCCGAATATGCATGACTATTGAAATATAATAAGAGCTCAGTTCCTATCCATCATCTTTTTGTAGGACGCAATTTCTGAGTGGGCTAAAAATAGACGTGGAAAAATAAGGGGGGGATTTTATCTAACATTTTTTCATTTTTTTCATACTCGACGTTTTCTTGAATTAACTGCTAATTTACCAGATTTGAAGTCGCAAAAATTTTTCTCAAAACATGCTTCAACGTTATTGAGTTTTTAGAACTCGAACAAAACTGAACGCCCTGAGGATTTTTTTGCAGATTGTTATGAATTTTATGAAGAAAAAAAGTCTAATTACCGACATAAATAAGCAAAACACTTGTTAAAATCTAGTAAAACGACAAAGAACGTTAGGGACCATTCATCAACCCTCCTTTCTGCCTGGCCGTTCAATTCTCACAGGGCAACAACATTTGCTGAATTTATGAGTATAAATACCTTTTTTTATAAATACTCGGAGTCTTGAAATGAAGAAGGATCTTAGTTTTCATGGGGAGGAAAGTCTTATACTCACATAATTAAGAAATACACTTGTTAAACTTCAGCAAGACAAAGAACGTTTGAGACTACCCTCTTCTTCTTTCTACCTGGCCGTTCCACAATCCTCACTGGGTAATAAAGTTTGGTCTTTTTCATAAATACTCATATTCTTGAAAAATGGAAGAGCATCTTACTGTATGAGTCAATTTTAGCGCTACAATTTCTTAAAAAACTTAGCCAACTACTTCCACCTCTCATTCCCACAGGAGTGAGTCCTTCAAGGGAACTTTTTTTTTTCAAGTACCTTGTCATGTAACTGTCATTACGACTTGGAATAGTAGTAGCCGCAAAAAAATGCGCTTGTTGACAGAATATTCAAGCGATCATAGTTTTAATCCATTAATTTGATTAGTCTAGTGAATAGTACGAATCAACATAAAAAGATGAAATCAGTTGAAGAATAAAGGTCGGATTTATAGGGAAGTTTGATGGAAAGAACGGAGACGAATGAATGGATGATAGAATAGAAATGTAAAAAAGTCCTACTTTGGGAAAAATTCAGATACCATAATTGAAGCAAAAAAGAATGTTTGAAATAAACAAAAAAGAAAAACAAAAAGATATAAAGATGGCATAGTAGCTTGAATAATAGAATGATGAAAAACTTTGAAAAACAGAATTCAACAAAGAAATGGATGAAAGCAGGAGTTGATGAAATCTGAATGACTAAAAATGTACGAATGAATGAATGACTGAATTGAAGCTATGAAACTTTTCAAGAAAAATTTTTGTATGAGAAAAATAAGTAATTAACTATACGCAAATTAACGTGAATGAAATGATCTCAAAAATCATTCAAAGGTCTAATGCTTACGATGACCATCAGAGTGAATGAAACACAATAGCGTCTTACTGTAAGTCTACGGTAAGGGCGCCTAACAATATAACGCAATCATTTTGATTCATTCTCTTGTCATTACGGTATACTTACCGTACACGTGTTGTCATAATCGCAGATCGATGAGTTCAAAGTAGAAATACTTGCAGCGTAAATTGGCGCTATAGAAGTAATTTTTTTGCTTTTCCAAGCATTACAAGCAAATTAGGAAAATTGAAGAATTAGGAATTAATTAGTAGAATGAAAATATGAGTTGTGAGGAAATAGATGAATTTCTGCACATCTCTTTATAATAAAGCGCTAGAGATGAATCATGCATGTAAGATACCCCCCCCCCCTTCGTGGTCGCGATTCGGATGTCAACAACTTTGTCGTTATGTGCCGTGCAGATGCACCCGGTCGTCACTCAGGATTGTGATTTTTGTCTTAGACGATGTTGATGGAGTTCCAGAAGAGTAAAGTGCAGACACCAAACATGATGTTTATCAAAAACCATCCGTGTAAGGTGCTATCATTTAACAATTGATTAGTTCCATTGCAACTATTTGCAAAGAATTGCATCTGTGGGGAGTCTTTGAATGGAAGTGCGTTCAATTACTGTACAAAAATACAAACTCAGGGCCAAACGAACATTTGGCGTTTAGCATCTGTTTCGCATTCCATATTTGTGCACGAATTATGGCAAAAGAGATTTTTATATAGTAAGCTCAAGCACTTTCTCTAAAAATATCCATCGTCTTTCGCGCTACGGTATTGACAAGTGCATTTCCAATACAAGACAGCGTATACTTACTTCTTATCCAGTGCTTTTTAAGCTACCGTGATGATATCATGCAACCGTAATCTTCTCTCAGATTAATCAATATTTTCTCTTGGCGCTGATTACGTCAAGACCTATTTAGTTGTTTTGGAGATATCATTTTGATTTTGGTACAAACTGCTAGGCTTTGATATCGGAATCAATCGAAGCTCAGATCACAAAGCCTAGATTTTTTGGATTTTTGATCAAATTAATTGCTGTGCCATTGCAAATAGAGAGTTTTGCAGAGAGAAAAGTTTTTGGATTTGTGGCAACTCACACCAGCAAAGCTTCTTCCCAAAGTTTTCCTAAGTAAATGACTTTGCACGCTGGAACTTATTTGCCTGCCAATGTTTCATTTTCTTCAATGCAACGTCTTTCGAAAAGTCTGCTTGAACAAAAATCAAGATGTCGCAAATGTTTAACTTGAAATTTGAACGTAGCTGGAATCCGAACTGCAAAGAATGTTATGAAATAGTACCTGCAATCTTCTACCCCTATTTGGACTGTCAGACATAGTCTCTCAATTTTTAAAGTTTGCATCATCAAGTAAATCAGGCTACTCAGTGAGTTTTATGCTAACCGAGAATCGTGATCCTACAGGTGATCCAATCATTCAAAAAATCTCTTTGCAGTCTGAAAAAACCTGATTTTTGACTCACTAGCAATTCTTTTAGAAAATGTGCAATGAAATTGACTCTTTTTCATCAAATAACAAGCATACAAGTTCTCTTTCGCTTCCTATATATTCTGCTTTTTGGTTCATTTGAAAACAACTGTGCGTACATTACATCTGATTGAAGCGTAATTTTTAATTGCGCATCTAAGCAAAGGATCTATTGAAATTTCAACGTGATCTCTATGCCGCGCCATCTTAGAAAAATTCACAAAGGGTCTCTCTTTTCACCACATCGTTAATATCGTGCAATTATATGTAGCGTTGGTAAACGTCAAATTCTTCAACGAAAAAATTGTGGATCAATTGTAATAGCGTAGCAAAACAATCGGTATCTATCTCTTAGTTAGGAATATCATTCTTGATTTCTCTATGCGAGGCAATTCTAATGCCACTTTTCCGACTGATATCTGCTGAAAATGCTGCGTCGCAACATTTTGTATTAGAAAATGATTAGTCCGCCTATAAACAATGAAAAATTGAAATGAAAAATTATCGGATCTAAGCTTGATTTACATTCATTGTATGAGAAATTTTTGTCGTTTTGACATTCATGCGAACAGTCCTTAGAATTCTTTGTATGCAAAATTCCGTTTTAACAGTAGTTGTTGATTTGTGATAAGTATACATCAAATGATCAATAAAATCGAAACGTTTTTTTCGTGCTTGCTGATCTTTGAATATCTTCTTCATCAACTTCTACAGCACTTAGAAATTTGCATTTTTTTATGATAAATGTATACTATGTGTAAGCGCTAATCAAATGTTAATTTTATCTGAATTCGAGCAGTAAAAGCAGGGATGGAGGGAAAATCTATGTAGACAAATAAATCTCTCTATAATAAAGCGCTAGAGATAATTCATGCATGTAACATCCCCCCCCCCTCCTTCGTGGTGTCAACATCTCCGTCGTTATGTGCCGGTGCAGGGTACCCCCATGGGACAGTGATTTTTGTCTTAGACACCTACGGGGCTGGGAGTTTCCACAGGGGGGGGGGTAATCGAGCATGGGGATTCCGAATACAATAATAGTTTTCAGGAATATCGATTACTTTTATCGTTTTATCGATTTTTGCAAAGTTTGAACTGCGGGGTTGGGAGTTTGCACAGGGGGGTAATCGAGCATGCTGATTACGATTACAATATTAGTTTTTGAAATCGTCCATTATTTTTGTCAATTTTATCGATTTTTTTGCAAAGTTTGAGCTACGGGGCTGGGATTTGGCACAGGGGGGTAATCGAGCATGCTGATTACGATTACAATATTAGCTTTTGATATTACCTATTACTTTTATCGATTTTATAGATTTTTTGTTGAGTGCAAAGTTGCAAAGTCTGAGCTACAGGGCTGGGAGTTGGCACAAAGGGGTAAGTGGGCATGCTGATTCGAAAACAACACAGGGAACGGGAAATGAAGTGTGGAAGTGGGCACAGGGAAGGCTTTACAGGGATAGGGA